AGTTGCCTAAAAGCCAAATCAATATCTTCTGCTGATCTTGCTTCAAGAACAGGCAGCGCCACATTATTCTCGGTCTTTGTATAGCCTGAAGAAGGTGGCAGCTCAGCTGGACTAGATTCCGGAGCTTGTTGAAATGCTTTATGTATGTCCTCCAGAGATCTTGCCTCGACAGCAGGTAATTTTGATTTGTTAGCTGAGTGATCTTGCAGTTTCTCAATCATACTCGGAACAATCACTTCCTCAACATCGACCCCTTCATGAAGTTGCTTAAAAGCCATATCAATGTCTTCTGCTGATTTTGCTTCAAAAACAGGCAACACTGCATTAGTCCGAGTCTTCATATCTTCTGGTAACAATGCACGTTCAGAATAGGCAACATGAGATGCATCAAGTGAACTAATTTCCTGAATCATATTGGTTTCTGTTAGTTTTGTTATCAGCAATTTAAGTCACACAAAGAAACCCAAATATCATAAAATTTGAGATAAATTGTAAAGCAGGGAACCATAATGCATAATGAAATGGATGCATGTGAAAGCAACAGAATCAAACAATTCAACTCGTAAGAAAAAGAGGACATATTCGTAAACGCCACAGTATTTAAGCATACATGCAATTCGGAAATCTTATGCTGGGTAAATCAATCAGTTTGAGCAATGAAATCCTGATTAGCTGTAAATAGATAAGTATCATATCATCCATGTTCAATTAACTATTTCTACATCATTATTTGAGACAAAAATAATGTTGGAATTCCGAGAATTAAGGGACAGAATCTTTCTCCTTATTTCTAGGAATTTACCTACTGTAAATAGCCTCTAATTTTAGCTCCATAATTTTAGGGATAATTTCCTATTTTGTAGTAACCCTTCTCTATATGTTGTAATCTGTTGATAAAGAAATGGAAAGAAATAACATTTCTTCCTAAGTTTGTTCATGGTATCAGAGTAATAGGACCCTTTCAATCATACTCTTCCTCTTTAGAAATCTCTTATTTTGTCTTTCTCCCATGACAGAAACCATGGAAACTCTTTCCGAATCCAATACCTCATCTTCTTCTGCTGCTGCTGAAATTGTTTTGGACGTTCGTCTAACCAAATCTCAATTTGAAACTCTCCATAAGACACTTGGTACATCAACTGCTCATGGATCATTGGCTATTCAAGGTACTACACTTAATATTACTTCTGAATCTAATAATCAAACCTCCTGGATTCTAGATTGGGTGCTTTCGATCACATGACAGATAACTCATCCCTGCTTTACACCTACACCCCTTGTCACAATCAATCCCATATTCGAATAGCAGATGGCTCCTACTCACCCGTTGCTGGATTGGAGCAGTGCAACTTACCAGAATTTTCTCACTTGAGAAAGTCCTACATGTTCCAAATTTATCTTGCAATTTACTATCAATCAGTAAACTCACTAAGACAAGGCTGCACTCGTTGAATTTTCTGCTCTTGGTTGTGTTATACAGGAACAAAAATCAAGGAGGATGATTGGCACTGCTAAGTTTGATGATGGACTACACGTATGGAATAATGACAATAAAAACAGTTTACAAGGAGGATTGGCTCTATCAGCTTCAAATGAGGACACCATCATGTTGTGGCAACGTAGGTTAGGACATCTAAACTTCTTGTATTTAAAACGCCCGCTTCCACTGTTATTTCGAAATAAAAATTCAAATTCCTTGAAGTGTGAAATTTGCCAATTATCAAAGCATAACCGTGTACCATATCCTTTAAAACCTTATATCCAATCAACATTTCTCCTTGATACAGTGACCTATGGGGGACTAGCGAGTGAAAAAACATTATGGGAGCTAGATGGTTTATAACCTTTATTGATGACCATACTAGAGTTTGTTAGACTTATCTCCTAAAAAAATCCGAAACACCAAAAATATTCCAAATTTTTCATTCAAAGATTCGAACCCAATTCAACTCTACCATACACACGCTCCGCACCGATAATGGGAGAGAATACTTTAACTTTATCTTAAGTCCATATCTTTCTGACCAAGGCATTATACGTCAAAGTTCTTGCCATCCAATGCCTGTAAATACCCTTCAAAAGGCCTTCCCACTATTTCGTGGTCCTACTATACCAGCTAAAATATTTGGTTGCAAAGCCTTTGTCCATAGCCATCAACCCAACCAGTCCAAACTTGATTCTCGAGCTCATACATGTGTTTTCATCAGTTATTCTCCTACACAAAAAGGGTACAAATATTATTTACCAACCTTGCGTCACATGTTTGTCTCTCGGATGTCACTTTCTTTGAAACTGAACCTTATTTTTCAACAACTCATCTTCAGGGGGAGACTCTCAATGAAGATGAGACCCTTAATACACTTCTTATTATTCCACCTGATCCTACTCCAGCCATTGTTGTCACACAAAATCCTAATAACCATCATGTCCTTATAATTCTCGATTTGAAAGCTCCTCCCACACAGCAGCAGGAAAAAACTCTATCCTTCCCAATAATGACCTTTCCATAGAAACACAACGGCCTCTTGCCTCTGAGAAACTACAACAACATGCTCCTGAACTCCTTGTATATTCTCGGCGTCGTTATTCTCCTGAAACTTACACTGCAGTGCCAATCTCATCCACACCTGATGACTTTTCTATACCAGAGGTATCTCCTGCTTCTCCATCCTTGGATCTTCCGATTGCTGTTTGTGAAGGCACAAGAGCCTGCACTCAACATCATATCTCTCGATTTGTATCCTATGGAAATTTATCTAAGTCCTACAAGAATTTTGTGACCAATATTGACCATGTAGAGACTCCAAGGAGTATGGAAGAAGCCCTTAAATCAACCGAATGGAGACTTGCTGTAATGGAAGAAATGAGTTCTCTAAAAAACAATGGAACTTGGGAAATTTTGGATCTTCCTGAAGGAGAGAAAACAGTAGGCTGCGAATGGATTTTCACCAAAAAAATTAAACCTGATGGCAACGTTGATCGACACAAGACTCGACTTGTGGCAAAAGGTTTCACCCAAACCTATGGCCTCGACCACGATGAGACGTTTGCTCCCGTTGCGAAACTCAATACTATACTGGTTCTCATTTCTCTTGCTGTCAACCTTGATTGGCCCTTGACTCAATTAGATGTAAAAAAATGTATTCCTCAATGGTGAATTAAACAAGTATAAATGGATTTTCCACTAGGATTTGAAGAAGAAAAGGGTCGAGTGTGTAGGTTAAAGAAGTCCTTATACGGGCTAAAACAGTCCCCAAGGGCATGGTTTAGCCATTTTGCTAAGGCTATGACCAACAGGAAATATATTCAAGGGCAGGCAGACCACACTATGTTTTACAAACACTCAGGAGAGGGTAAATGCTCTATTATTATCGTTTATGTTGACGATAATTATCCTAACAGGGGATGACTTGAGTGAAGTCAAAAGGCTAAAAGAGTTCCTTAGCACCGAATTTGAACTTAAAGACTTGGGAAATCTCAAATACTTCCTTGGAATGGAAGTAGCAAGGTCTCGAACTGGTATTTCTATTTCTCAATAGAAATATGTTCTCGATTTACTAACGGAAACTGGAATGTTGGGTTGCAAACCTGTCGAGACCCCAATGGAGTTCAATTGAAAGCTAGGCATTGATGAGGATGGAGAAGAAGTAGACAAGAGAAGATATCAACGACTCGTAGGAAAACTCATCTACCTATCTCACACTCGTCACGATATTGCTTTTGGTGTGAGTGTCGTCAGCCAATATATGTACACTCCAAGGGAGAAACACTTAGAATTTGCGTACAGAGTGTTGAAGTATTTGAAGGGAACTCCGGGTAAAGGTTTACACTTCAAGAAAATAGCTAGTCGTTATGTGGAAAACTACACTGATGCAGATTGGGCAGGTTCGGTAAATGACAGACGTTCTACAAGTGGCTATTGTAGTTATGTTTGGGGTGATCTTGTGACATCGAGAAGAAAAAAACAATCCGTTGTAGCCCGTAGCAGTGCTGAACCAGAGTATCGAGCCTTGTCTCATGGTATATGTGAGGGAATTTGGAAAAAAAGACTAATGGGGGAACTAAAGATACCACATATCATACCTATGAAGATGTATTGTGACAATCAAGCAATAGCCAGTATAGCACACAATCCGGTTCATCACGATCGTACCAAACATGTGTAGATAGATCGCATTTTATCAAAGAAAAGGTCGACTCAGGATAAATGTGTATAAGCTGCTTACCCACTAAACAACAAGTTGCGGACTTGTTAACTAAAAGACTAAACAAAAGCATGTTTGAAGATCTTACTGGCAAGCTGGGTTTGATAAGCATCTACACTCCATCTTGAGGGGAGTATTGGAATTCCAAGAATTAAGGGACAAAACCTTTCTATTTATTTCTAGGAATTTACCTACGATAAATAGCCTCTAATTTTAGCTCCAGATTTTTAGGGATAATTTCCTATTTTGTACCAACCCTTTCCTATAAGTTGTAATCTATTGATAGAGGAATGGAAAGAATTAACATTTCTTCCTAAGTTTGTTCAAGTAATGCTTTTGTAAATCAACTCTTTCTTGTGCTGATACATCAGCGAACTAAAGTTATTGTATAAGACCATCAATTCTATAGCAGATTAAGAAAGAAACAATTTTTTTTTGGTGGGATGGGGGGGATACATCATTTCCTAAGAAACTCCGAGCTCACAAAAACAGAAAAAGAAGGGAACTTGATCTTACAAGGCCAAAAAAAAGCATCCAGTAATCGATAAACGAAACAAATTATCGAAGGCAAAATTTGCAATACAGTTTATATGATTAATTTTCAAAGAAACATACTTCATATTGCATAACTTACCTTGAGCTTATCGTGTTCATCCATCTCTGTATCATGCCACAACAGCTGTTTGTCCGATTCCGGTGAAGATGGTGCCACAACAGTTGTCTTGCCATGTGCTTTGGCTTCCTCATTTGTAGACCCTATCAACCTCAAAGGCAAACCCATTTCAGATATCTCAGCTAATGTGCTAGAAGAGACAGATGAAAATGAGAAGAATTTTCGAGTGATGGAGGACTGGAATCATAAACAGCCTGCCTATTTTGATTATCATCCACCGCCCTACTCGTAGAAGGAAACTCTGATTCCTCAAATGAAGGTTGCGTAGAAAAGTCAGATTCTTTAGTTTCATTTTCTTCAGATTCGAAACTTGCAAAATCTTCTCCCTTGACATCAGATATTTCTTCATCTGTTTCTGATGATGAGGAGGAGGAGGAGGAAGAAGACGAACTTGAGCTACTGCTAGAATCCTCCATAATCATTTCTCTTTCAGAATGGATTTCACTGGCATCGAATTCTATATGAGCAGTTGTTGCAGCTTCAGACAAATCTGATTCAGTTTCCAGATGATTTTCTCCACCTCCCAAAACGATCTCAACCACATCATGGTGAACATCTCGATTCTCGGCTAGGATAACATTAATGGATCTAACATTCCCAGATGATTGGCTCTCTTGTTCATCGTGGACAGAAACATGATCTTCATTCAAGATCGGTTCAGTTTCTCGAGAAACACCATGCTCATTTGGCTTGTTGTCCTCTTCGCCTGGAACTGAACTCACTAGTTCCGTACCAAGAACAGAGCTCATCTTCGAGTCACTAGCTTCACTTAACTGCCTCAGGAATGAGGTTCCTTCTGTTACTACCCGATCTGGAACAAAAAAAGGTTTCCAATTAAGCTCTTGTCTAGGAAAACCAAAAGATGACGGTCCCACATTGAAGCTTTCATGTCTCCGAAAGATGGATTCTCTTTGAAGAGCTATTTCCCTTTGATTAAAATCTGAAAAATCTACTGGGAAAGTGTCTGCTTTAGGAACAGGTATTTGCTCGGTTGAGTCACAAGGAAGATCGAAAGGGTTTCTTGGCAGCAAAATGGATGGAGCTGACCCTGGAATGGGAGGTAATCCTAGATCATCACAGGAATCATATGGAAGTTCAAATGGGTTTTTTCTAGTACAAATCAGTGTGATGTGTGAGGAAATGCCAGCACCATCTAAGTTTATTAAATTCTTCTCAGTCATGGAATTCATGTTTTTACAGGCTCTTCTCCTTTCCATAAGAATCTCCAATCGTTGGTTTCTTTCAAGCTCTGAAGTCCCCAATTCAATGAGATTTTTCTGATCATCCTCTGTCCATTTAATTGCAGATTTACTTTCATCTTCGGTATCCGTCTTTGGTCCTTTTCCTTCATTGTCATCATTATCTTCCTCCCTCAGGTTCTCTAACTCGTCTGAATCAACACTATCATCGTTAATACTACCATGAGACCTCTCTGAAGCAGCATAAGAACCATCTACACATACCAGTGCAGGCTGTGGTGCTTCTGAGCCTAAAAGTGGATGCAACTCGTCAATCACCGGCATTATATTCTCCATTGAAAACATCAGGAGAGGAACCATCAGAACCGGAATCCAAATAGTCATCATCATCTTTATCCTTTGGCACATCACTGAAATCTGCTGCAAATTTGCCCACATCAAGATTCCTATCAGTTACCTTATCTGCCAAATTACTTTGATCCTTCGCAAGCTCCACATTACGGAATGCACTATCACTCCCCAGCATCTCTCTCTTCTTCTCGAACAACAAACCATTCGACATTCCCTGCACACCATCAATCTCCCCTTTCTCACAACAAATGCCCATAGAATCCAAACGCTCATTAACTAAAAGCTTATATGAAATGGAACCACCTTCTCAACTTCGCTAACCTCATTATTGACCAAACTAACTTTCTCGAAACCATTCTCTACTATACCTCTCGTCTTTTTTACATGTCTTTCTACAACAAAACCATCACGATCGGCATCTCTCTGGACTATAGAAACATACTCAGTAGCTCCAGTTTTCAATGATGAAACTCCATGACTATCTTTCTCTTCTTCTCCCTTTTCCTCAACTTCGGGTATGTTCAGCGACCCAAAACTCAAAAGAAGACCAAGCAAAACAGCAGTGCAAACCAAAACAGGACATGCAGCAACCAAAATCGAAAACATAAATGGAGAAGATCTATACAATATATGATAAAACTGACCAAACCAACCAACATTGGATGATTCCAAACCGATCTATAACATGTTTTTACTGATATCACCAAAAACCTCCAAACTCTAACTACAAATCCCAATTTTCCAAGCCCCATCTCTCTGTTATGCAATTTTTTTCTTCAAAATTTCCAATCTGTTTAAAAAAACAAAACAAAACAATGTTATCCCAAAATTTTAACTGTAAACGCACATATAGGTAGGATTAAATGAAAGAGAGGGCAACCAGAAAAAGATCAACCCAATACCTGGAAGGCAACAATGAAGAGTTTTCGAGTGGCGAATTGCTAAATGAAAGAAAAGTCAATGAAATTCTAAGCATAGCTCAAAATTTTCAATCAAAATGTACCCCCAAAAGAGAATTGTCAATCACATAACAAAAGCTTTCAAAGAAGAGATAAAGGAACTCAATAATACCTGGAAATTTTCAGAAACCCTGAGGCTTCTGAAGCTCGAAAATTGAAACAGAAGGGGATATTTAAAATGGGCTAAATGAATAGAGATCATTCATTAAAAAGTGAATCAAGGTAAGGCAAATGAAATCTCTGTTTTTCCTCTCATTCTTTTTGCCTACAATTTTGGGTTAGCAAAACAGCATTGCATCGTATTCATTGGAATGAGAGAGGAGACATGGGTGGCAAAAGACCAAGGGAAACGTTGTACTACAAAGACAAGAATGTTTCTATTATTATTTGATTTAAATAATGACTTTTCATTTTAATTTAAAATAATTGTATGAAGGTTTAATATATATATATATTATCAAACTTTTATTTTTAACTATAACATTCAACTTTAAATGAATCAAGTAGTCTCTCTACTAAAGAAATTATTGTCATTTATTGAGAACTCAAGGACTCAGGTTCGAGCACCATGAATGTCAAGGGTGTAAGCATTCAATGTTAATAGGTTAAAAATTATATTTAAATAGATATTACCTTTTACATACACCATATTAATAAAAATTATTCTGGCAGTTTGTACTACCTTTAAAGAAATATTATTCTGCATTAATATACAAACTGAAAAATTATTCTATTTGCACCATTGAAAACTAGACTCGAATAAGAATCTAACCATATAAGTTAATCTGTCTAATTCCACTTATACAATTTATAACGAAATTTCAAAATTGATTGACAAAACTGTTTTGGGCAAAATCTGCTGCACTGTTTTCTGATCTATCACCGATTAAGAATTCATATCTTTTGTGTACTTCTCAAATCAGTTTTTATTTGTTCTAAATAAAAACTATATTGATATATGAATCAATGGTATAAGACTCACCCTTCAATTATTTTTTTAGAATTTCTGATGATTTTCTAAACTTACTATTCATAACATAATTTCTTGGCAGATTTCATTAACTTGCATCCTTAACTTATTTACTAATTCTATTAATTTACCAAATTAACGTATAGGCTTGAATCACACTTCACATAACATTAGGAGTAACTTCTTAACGTAACTCTAAAACTGACTTATCGCAAACCAATGTTTATTCGATAATGTAAATACAAATTAAATGCACTCACCTTTGCCTCACCATCGAACCTTCTCCACAATATTCTTCTCGATCCCACACTTTTCTTTCCCTTTTAAACTACTTGGATCACTAGATTTATCGTGGTCTCACGGCATTATACAATAATATAAAATATTCAAACCATATGTTAGTATCGAACTAACATAATGTAAACGAAATTATAAAATTCGATAGAAATAAAATCAATACTTGAATCGATATAAAACTAAATCATACTTCCTTCATAATTTCAAACTTCTCAAAATACTTATTCAATCCCATGAATATTTATTTCCACTGTCATCGCTTCAATTTTTGCCAATTACACCATCAAGCCATAAATTATGAATTCTTTTTAGAATTTATATTAGCTTTCCCATTTAATTCATAATGACCCTTCACTATTATGATCATTTACATTAATCATATAAAAATTTCAGCGCCTACTAAAATATTCAAATCAACACTTAAACATTCAAAAGCTTACAATTTCATCTAAACTTTCTTAGATTTTTCAATTTCAACCACACAACTTGATAAACTTGCAATTAAATCTCAACTTAATAATTAAACCAAAAATCAGCATACTAAATATAATTTCAAGCATTGTAATAATTACCCAAATGATACTTCCACATTTAATAAACTTGAAATCAAGTCCCTATAATATGAGACTTTTCGAATTTCACCCTCAAGCTTTACCAAACTTGAAATTTAGTTCCAATCAACTTTCTAACTTAAAATTCCAGCATTTCTAATATTGAAATTCAACATTAACACTCCATCTATTACATTTATGCAATAATGTCCCACAATTCTCAAAACTTGTATATTATCCCTTTTACTATCTCAAGCTTCTAAATGGATCCAAATTGATTTTCAAAATACATAGAACACTTCTAGTATCATTTCTATATCATAGGAAATTTTTCAATGTTTTCCCCCAATTTCCCCTTATGGTCGAATATAACAAGTCTTTTAAGACTTATTTTCATTTCATTTCAAGCATGAATTCAACTTCCTTAGATTAAATTCATGCTATTACATCAAAATCCCAACATTTCCAAAAACCGTAATTAGGCCAAATAGTATACAAACATGTACACATCAAATTAATCATCATACATGTCATAGAATTAATCTCCAACCTTAAAAACATCAAAATTCTTCTTCAATTCTTCAAACTCCAAAAATCCTACATAAACCCTAATTCTCAATCTCAACACACAAGCATCTTCACCATAAAATATCGATACCAAATGACAGAGAATTTCATGTAGATTAATTCTCTATCTAATAGCTCAATCCAAAAATCAAGTGTATAACTTCAAAAATCAAAACAAATATTTTTCTTATCTTGAGCAAGGTGGTTCGGCCAAGAGAAGAACAAAAAGCTGAAAATGGGTAATTTCTTGATTATTCTAACATTAAATTAGCCTTTACACTTGTCTTTAAATTAATATAATTGATTTTTTTATTCAATTATGATAAATTCCAAAAATACCATTAATGAATCTTTAAAATTACCAATTTTCATTGCCATTTCCTATATTAAAATATTCTTTGGTCAAAGATAAATCAATTTGGCATTGGCTTTCTACTTTGGCCATGCAATTTTTGAAAATTGCATTTTAGTCACTAAGTTTCCACTGTTCAACCAAATCTAAAAATTACACCCTTCTGAGCCAAATTTCTTTGATATAAAATATGGAAATAATATTTCCAACCATTTTGTAACATCGTTCAAATTTTCATAAAATTCTGATTCAATCCGAATATCCGATTCAATACCGAACTTTGTCAGTTTATAGCTTTTAACATAAATCATGTACTGAAAATCTGATTTCTATAAAAATCATTGTTTTAGGTCAAACTATTCATTTACATGCTAAATATATAACTTTTAAAAATTACATTGTTGGTCCTTGAACTTTTAAAGTTTACACTTTAGTCATAAAACTTTCAAAACCAATATTTTAGTTACTAGTCAAAATTTGGGTATTACACGAAATGGAATTGTTCTAAAAGGTCTATAAATTGAATATTCTAGTTGCTTTATTTTGTCTGTATCTGATTAGAATGCTAAGTCGAGATAGGGACATGTCATAATGCTTGCGAAGACTAAGAAAAGAATGATGTCTTGATGATGAAAACCTTAGAAAAATAAGAAGCCAACCTATGGCCAACCCGTTGATCTTAACGCTTGTAAAAAGCCTATGATTTTTGAAATAAGATAAAATTCATGATTTACTTGATATTCACTGAATTATTGATTTGTTTCGATCTTGAGCCTGAAGCAAGGGGCAATATTTTGCTTTATAAAATTCTTTCATTCTCATCAATTCTAAAAATATAAGAAATAAGAAAAACATTTCCAAATAGGATAATCTCTTAAGAACGAATGAGGTCCTTGAAGCTAATGAGGCTCATTCTGTCTCAAACGAAAAAGTGGGACAATAAGCAAAGACCAAGGTAAGGAAAAATAAGCAATGCAAAAGAAATTAAGGCATTCTCCGATTTTCAAACAATAAAGCCTGAAAAGGTCAAAAAGACTCAAGATCACACTTCTTTGCGATATTTTCAACACCAAAAGGCAAGCGATCGCCTCAGTAAGAAGTGAGCCTCGCTAATTGGAGTGTCAGGGGTAAAAGATGAAAACAAGATGAGCTTATCTTAGAATGTAAATCACTCATGCTTCACTAACAGAAGAGCCCAGAAAAAACAACTCTGATAGAGCAATAAAGTCAGTGACAGAAAGGGCATCAAGGCTAAATTTTCTTGAGTTACCAAGTTGATGTCAAGGAGGAGTCTATTCGAGGGTGATCCAGTGAAGGAAGATTGAGTTATCCTCTTTTGAATCAGAATAAGATTAATGGCTAACATCTATGCATATGAGAAAGTCATGTATTACATTTAGATGCATTTAAGTGCATTCATATTTTCATACATAGATGCATAATTTTACAAATATTCCAATGAAGGAAGAGAAAGAAAAGAAAAATCATAATTCAAGCCTCAAATAGAGGGAATTACATTCAGAGTGGTAGAACCTCAAGAATTGAGGAGTCTAACCCACAGAACAATCATTACCTTGAAGCGGGGCATGTTACCCAACCATATGATATTTTCAAATGAATTTTTAAAGAAGCCAAGTTTGATTTTCAATGGTTTATTGACGATTACCCTGACCGATATGATGTTTTCAAATGAAATTTTAAAGAAGCCAAGTTTGATTTTCAAAGGTTTCTTGATGATTAAGTCCTTTGGGCCATCAATAAGTCTTTCGAGCATGATGATTGAAATACTTCGGGTCATCTGTAAGTCTTTCAAGCAAGATGATAAGTCCTTCGGGCCATTTGTAAGACCTTCGAGCAGGTTGTTTTAAATAAATAAATAAATGAAAAATCGATCTCCAAAGTTTCTCATTTAATAAATTTAGTTTAAAAATAAAAAATGAAAAAGTGAAAAATGAAAGAAGAAAAAAAGAAAATGAAATGTCATATGTCTTTTGCAAGTACAATATATATGAGTTTGGGGCAAATCAAACGAGGGAGGTAGACCATTTCATTGAAAGATGAAGACTCGACATAGAGAAAGACTCAGCAAAGAATCAAAGATTCACTAGACAATGGAGCTCGCAATACTAAAATGACAACATGCATGCATATATTAGGTATTTGTAAAAATAGGAGCATACATATTAATTTTTCATCAAGTTTTGAATGTATGACTGGATTTTAAAGGTCAACCAAGATTTCATTTCAAAAGGTTGTGAGAAAGAAGATAATTTTAGCAAAGATTTAGTCCACATTTTCACCTTTGAAAAAAGTGGATCTCAATAAAGAATTAAAGACCTTCGAGTCATTACTTTTGGATACTTTAAATACATATCAATGAAATATGATAATCTTTTGTAGGTTCAAATTTTTTTAAAGAGAAGATAGACCAAGCATTTCCAATGGAAAGGTTTGTAATGAGAAGAACCGTCTGATAAGAGAGAAGAAGTTCCTAATGAGAAGAACTTGTTCGGCTTTGGCTCTTCCATCACATAAGGAGTTGGATTGGCATCACTTCGCTCGATTCCATCACATAAGAAGTTGGATCAACATCATCTTACTCGAGATAGTTTTCCTTTGAAACTAAAACTTCAATATCATTTTATTTGAGGTTTAAATCCATCACATAAGGGGTTGGATCAATATCACCTTTTGTTCAATTTCATCATATAAGGAGTTAGATCAGCATGTCAAGAGAAGAAGTTCATAATGACAAGAACTTGTTTAATCTTTGCTCGATTCCATTATAGAAGGAGTTGAATCAGCACTTTCGATGGGTTCATAATGAGAAGAACTCGTATCTCAAGAGGCTCGATGGTCACGACAAAAATGGTGCTTTATGTCTTTACCTTATTCCTGTTTCACATCAATAAGTAAAGAGGGGCAGTTGTAATCACTATTTTTATCACAAATTATTATTATTATTATTATTTCATTAAAAAATATTTACAACCCTTGATCCAATACACTGCCCAAGACAAAGAAACCTAAAACCCATCAAGCCCAATACAATTTGAAACTAAGAAACATTAATAGCCACCCTTTGTTCCAACCACCGCATGGCCTCCTCCAGCTTGTGTTGTCGTTGTTGACGACCATCTCACATCCCGAGCCGTACTACCAATTGTTGAGTCGAGCTTCTCCATTTCCATTCTTGGCCAAAACACAAGAAAATCAAGAAGAAAGTCATATTTTCATTCTTTTAAAAGTGACATGGGTGCTTTATAAATCCAAACAAATGCAAACAAAAGGAAAAACCCTTTTGATAAAAAGAAAACAATACAAAAACAAAACTTGAAGGTATTCTTTGTTTCTCTCTGGGTTTTTTTTCTTTGTGTGTTCATGTAGGATTTCGAATGAAATAAAAGGAAAAGGGTATCGAAATTTACCTTAGTATTAGAATTCTACCACCTAAGTTCCTCGTCGGAAAACGATCACCATCGGTGGTGGTTGGGAAGGAAGCCATCATCGTTTAGAGAGACTAGGGGTTTCGGTTTTGGTTATGGGAGAATATACAAAGTTGTTAGGGCCAATTAGACCTTTAGGATACCTTTGTTCGATTGATTAGGAGTTCAGAGAGAAGATGGCCACCGGGCCACGGTGGCCAAAGCGATGGCCTTGATCTCCTGTGAAGAGCAGCGGCCGAGAGATAAGGGTTTTGGTAGAGCTCAAACAAAAGAATGGTTTTCATTTTTTTAGGTTTTCTAAACTTTTATCGTAAATAGAAAAACGATAGGTTAAATACATGGTTGTTTTGGGAAAATCACACTTTAGTCATCATACTTTAGGCGTGTTTTACATGTTGGTCACCTATCTCATGTCCTTTTAATTTATTGAAAAGTTTAGGTCCTAATTTCATATTTTACATTTTATCTTCTTAGTGCGTTAGTGAGATAAAGTTTAGGGTCAAACCATATTTTAGCCCCCATACTTTTCCCGTCTTTTTACACTATGATCCCCATTATTTCTTTTTTTATTATTTTTGAAACATTTTTGTTTACTTTATTTTATTTCAATCACCTATTGTTTGCTCTATTTATTGCATTTTAATGTTCGATTCGATCTTGCGGTGACCCAATCACGGTATAACCCACATTATTATGATTCAGACTCTTTTAACATTATTCTAACTACTGACTTATAACTTCTAACTACTAACAACTAATTTTTTGATTTCTTTTATTTGAATCATTGTACGACCTCGTGGTGACCTACCCCGGGGTACGATTTGCGTTATTACAGTCTGGGTTAAAATGCTAACACTACTAATCACAAACTCCTAACTTTTATTTTATTTTATTTCTAACATTAATAACCTCTGACTACTAATTTTACTTTGTTTTATTTTTATGCCACTAACTGTTAACTTTTATTTTTCGCATTCAAACCATTGTACGACCTTGCGATGACCCACCTCAGGGTACGACCCGTCTTATTACGGTCCAGGTTAAAAATTAAAGTATTAATTTATTTACCTTATTTTATTGTTATTTATATTTTAATTTTTAGCTTGATTTATTCTACCCTTTTATTTTTCATCTTTTGCATTTCACTCCTTTTAAATTCCAGCATTTACGTTTCTATTTATTTTTAATTTGAGCTTTGCATTTTGTTTTATTTCATTTTAGTATGTCATGATTATTTATGTGTGCAAGTATACACAATCGAACAAGTAATATAGTGATAAATGAGTATCGTCTCCACAGGGATTGGAGAAGTCGAATGAGTTTGTTAAAACACTTTACTTTGTCACCTAAGTAAAGTTAGTGATGGTATGTACAAATGATAATGTTGTGGCAAAATGAGATGGATGTTGTGGAAATGGAATGGTGGTATGGTAGCAAATGGATATGTCGTGGCAAAGTGGATGGAAATGTTAAAGAAAAATAAAATGTAAATATACGATTTGATTAATAGGACTTTGTCTTTCTCACACGACAAGCTACTTTGGGAATGAGTGGTATGAGTCACTCTGGAAAACCTAAGTTTACTTCTCGGAATGATCTTATCTCTATGCCTCTTATGCCCGACAGAGTATACTAAGGTGCCCTATGCTATCTCTAGTAAGGGACTCGATAGATTGAAGATGCCCTGGCAAAACCGGTTGGCGTAAACCCCTGCAGTGATCCTATTGGTCCATATAACAGGATATATCTCGTCAATATCTTTTTACAGCAGCATTAACATCTAACCTATCGTTCATGCACAACTCCTATTAGTCGAATGAAATCCTAGCCTTATCTCTAAGGTGGATTAGGCCTAGTTACTAACTAGAACCCCTTGTTTATGTAGTTCATCCCTAGTTTCTCTCGAACACTAAGGATGTGTTATCTTGGTATTCTTTCGAACCCAAAGAATCTCTTAAGGAATGGCTATTCTCGTAGCTCCTATAACTTTAAGGCACTAAGTCTAATAAACAAAACAGAATATAACAAAGAAAAACAACCATTCATTGAAATAAAACTTAAACATCCAAGTGAACTCCCACCAAATAGGTTTAGTTCATGGTGGGGTTCGAAACAAACAAGCACAAAGCAAGTTTCATCTGTTCCTTACAACCCAATAACAAAATATGAAAGCAAAGAACTAAGGGAGGGAGAAAAAGCCTTCGACGTGCACTGTCGGAGCTTCCCTCGGCCACCACGAACTGCCCCCAGTGAACTAGCTCCTCTCGGATGTCTAGAATGCCACTCCCTCAAGCTTGTCACGGAGAAATGCCACGGCAAGTAGGATTGCCGGAGAAAGATGAGACATTCTCTCTCTAACTTTTTAAGCTCAAATCTGGGTGGAACCAAAGTCTTCAACAATGTGACTTTATCCTCTATTTATAGGGGAAAACTAATCCTAGAACTTGGTGTTAACTTTCCTAGAAAAACCAAAACCATGGTTAAGTTGCTTGGGAGTCGGGCAGGACAGGCTATGTTACAGCCTGGGTAGCTGGCTGAGTACCCGACATAATCCCGCTGTAGATGCCCAAGGACAGACAAGATCTGTAGAGCAGGCGGCGTGGTCAGCAGGATCGGCTGTAGCAGCGCCGACCCCTCCAGGCGGATCTTCGAGGAAGATTTCTTGGGTAAAGATCACGGAAAGTCGGATACAGATGGCTTCAAAAATATCTTCTCGCAATGTAAGCACTTTTGAAATGTCGGTTGAACTTAGAAAATTCATTTTTCTCAGCAATCTCCTTATGTCACGGCATTTTCTTTCCACTTTTTCTTGCTCTCAATACCTGCACATCATCATACAAATACATTTCCCATAAAGCAGCACCGCTGTAAAAGTAAAATGCCAAGGCAAACCAAAATCCACCACATGCAACTAAATGCATCTACATGATCCTAAATGAGCCTTTAGACATTCAATAACTTAAGTTAAAAGGTCCCAAAATGTGGCCTTTTACGGAGTTATCAATGTGGTCTATGTCATTTCTATTGCATGTGATTTACTTTACTTGTATGATTAGTCTCTATACTATTATTTTGTTTTTATTTTTGTCCCCGTGAGATATTGATTTTAATTTTCATTAGTGGTTAATTTTCATTTTTAGTTTCCCATATTATTAATGGTTTTAATGCATGACAACCCTCATAATTTTCCATCAATTCAAATTCGACCTTAAATTTAGATTTTTCGATTTTATGAATTTGGCCCCTACTTTCTTGTTTTATTTTATTTGATATTAATTATCACCAAGATTATTTTGCACTCGTGAGAATTTTCAATAATATCTATCGTAGAATGGGCATGAAAAGTGCAACCTATCAAGGTAGTACGATTTATTACGACGTTCGAACAAAAACGCACTTGAAAATAATATAGTATGTTTTGATAAAAAAAAATGAAATTGATTAATGTTCAATAAAATGATCACATTTTAAATTTTGACTCGAATCCACAAATTTCACCACTATGACAACATATAAGTGATCAAGTACCAACTTTAGGCGTGGTGGGGGTGTTAATCCTTCCCCACACATAACCGACTCCCGAGCCCTTAAAATGAATTTCTGGTAACATATAGGCCCAATTTTTTTCTTTTTAAAATGATTTTTCTTAAAATTGTTTTAAAAGACGCTTTTAGGTATTCGAAATACCTAACCCAAATGTCGATGGTGACTCACATCATCATTTCATAAAATTTGATTCGAAATATTCTATCCATAAAAAAATGGTGACGACAAGTATGAATACCAAATTTAGGTTTGATGTTTAGGCAAATAAATCGGTATTGACACCCTTACTTATGGTATCATTACTTCTTCTTTGAGTAGTGTTGATACTTCCCTAGTTTCGATACCAAATCTGGCTACTGGAATTTGTAATTTAACGATGGTACTGATACCCCACCCTTGGGTATCGATACCCAAAGAATAGTATCAATACTCTATGAACAAAGTATTGATACTACTTAGCCAAAACCCTTTGTTTTGGCTATCTGAAGAACAATATTGGTGTTATTCATCTAGTATTAATACTCAAACTCAGAATTTCTTTGTTTACTTGAAAATGACACCCCAACTTCACCCTTATTCCTCTCGGCCTTTAAACATTATTTAAGTCTTATATAAGTCAAAAGAGATCATAATAGGTCAATTTTCATGTTGTAACATCATAAATCATAATCTACCATGGATGCACTTACATACCCTCTGAACTTATACAAGTTAACCAAGCATATACAATGACTTAAAAGTTGTATAGGTAAGTTAGAAATGTGTTACCGTACTCCTATCTACTGAGAAATAACTCCAAGCTCACCCAAGCACAAGATTTTCCTTACCCTTTCCTTTAGAGCTTTCTCCAACCTCTTTCACTAGTCAAAAGACAAGTAAATGAGTTGTTAAGTCACCTATGAACTTGGAAAGAAGTTAAGAAGGCTTCTTAAGGTTTAATTCCACACAAAAATGAGCTGACTAACTTAAAGGTTTCTAAACCCCCACTAAAACCCCACTTTTGGCCACCATGACAAACTAGGGAAAAAAATGCTTGATTGGAAGCTCTAAGGGTGAGGATTCCATCACTTATCTTTGTTAATTTGGATTAGTTAAGAATGTAGACCAATAAAGTTTTCACCTTTGCCCAAGCCACCTAGGAAAAGAGATCAAGTTTGAAGGTAGAATATGACAAAGAAAGTGAGAAAAATGAGATACGAGGGAAATAAGATTTTCCCCTTATCTCCCTCCCAGTGATATCACAAAATTTGAATGAAAATCAGCCTTTAGAACAAACAATGAGATAATCACCCTTTTGGTCCCTCTAACTTTGCCCCTAACTCAAAAATACCTTTTTTATTATCACTATTTGAGCTTGACTCAAGTCCAACTCAATTTAAACTTGGATCAAGGCTTCCTACAATACTATTCGATTTGTCCAATATCCTCTCAAAACATCCCGAAAATACTAACCCGATAATTTGGGGTGTTACAATTTTGCCTCCCAACATTTCAATTTTTGATCAAAACAGACCCTATTGAATGAAAACCGTTAGTTGACTAACAATCAATACATGTTACTAACATTTCATTTTCACAAGTGATTAATGATAATGTGACATGTGTCATGTCACTAAAAGATGATGACATAGGATGTGTCATATCACCCGAAGTGATATGTGGCATATGCCATGTCACCCAAAATAATGACGTGGCATGTGCCACGCTATCTGGAATGGTGACATTACACATGCCATATCATTAATTGAACACATGTAAAAATGTCACGTAAGCAACATGTGTTGAAAGTTAGTCAACTAATGGTTTACATCCAACGAGGGCTATTTTGGCAAAGAAATGAAAAGTTGAGGGTAATTGTGTCATTATCCTTATATATAAAAAATATTAGTTACGTAGGTGTAAATTTATCAGTAATACTAACTAAATCATAACTAATTTAGTCAGAGTATAGTTTAAATAAAGGAAAGAAACCAACCTTTTGACTTTTTCTTACGCATTCCTAACTTCAAGCTCTTTACGGGGAAAAAAACTTCCTCATGACCAAAGTTCAGATGCATGCAAATACATAACCACAATCTATGTTCATACATCAAAGTTACATAAATAAAGGATCACAGAAAAGAAATCTCCCACTATTTTCAGAAACTTGGTACAACATCTTTGTTTTCTCGAGAAACAAACAAAACGAAAGGACCAATGTTTTTGTTATAATGCATGTAAAAAAGGGTTGGTATATAACTGAAAGTGAAGAAGATTAGGTTAACTGATCAGAACCACATCCATAAGTGTAGCAATTTGAGAAGAGAAACAATGGGAGGGGAAGGGGGAGGGGGAGGAGGAGAAGAACAGGGATCGTTCATGTTCACACCAACATGGATTATAGCGTCAGTTTGCTTTGTGATTATTGCCCTTTCTTATGCCATGGAACGTTCACTTCATCATTTAGGGGATGTTTTGAAGAAGAAGAAACAAAAACCACTCTACGAGGCTCTTTTGAAAGTTAAAGAAGGTAACCCCTTTTCTTAATGTGTTCTTTTCCTTTGGAAATTATTTTGGGTAAACTGCATTTTTAGTACCTAAATCATTATTTTTGTTCTTTTTGGTACTCAAGTTTTTTTTTCCAAAATCATGTCTAACGTTTAGTTTATGTTTTATTTTAGTGTCCCGCTGTTAAAAACTTAATGGTGATATTGGCGTGTCACCTTAAATAATGTTATCAGGGACAGAGCTAGGATTGAACTATAATGACGCAAGTTTAACTTCAAAATAAATAGTGTCTTAAAAAACAAGTTAACAGTAAAAATTAAGAGAATATGGGCTTAATTTCATTAATTCTTAAAATTCAAAGGTCTTAAAATGTAATGAAATCAAACAACTTTGGGATTAAGGCAAATTCCATTAATTTTAAAACTCACAATGTCCTAAAATTTAATTATATCAGAAAATTTTGGGAGGAACAAGGGCTTAATTACAATTGTTTCAAAACTATTAATGGCTTAATAGATAATTAAACCATCAAAGTTTGGAAGGCATTGCCCCTCCCACCTATAACATGGATCCGTCTCAGAATGTCGTGTCATCATTGATTTTTTTTTAAATGCCACATCAACAGTTATATTAATTATTTAACGGCAGATACCAAATTGAAACCTAAACTAAATGATATGTATGATTTAAAAAAAAAATTGGGTACCAAAATGGAACACAAGTAATAGTTTAGATACTAAACATATAGTTTATCCAATACTTTATGCATTCGAATTATTGTAACCTTGAGACGTGGGATTTTGGTTTTTGCAGAGTTGATGCTGTTGGGGTTTATATCACTGTTGTTGACAGTATTCCAGAGTGCAATTTCTAAAATGTGCATGCCAAGGGAAATGCATAATGACATGCTTCCCTGTAAATTTCATGACGACGACGATGAACCTCCAGAGTTAGAGCATGGTTCAACCGTGCATGGTGGCGCCCGACACCTACTGAGAGCAGGTCCATTAAATGCAGTCGAATACTGCGGTGCCAAGGTAATATATCCCAATAAAATGGCTTTCACTAGAATACATGCTTGATTGCCTAGTGTTGTTGCTTTACTTGTTCGATTTACACATATGTTATTAGAATCTATAAAAAGATTATAATAAACAATGATAATCATAAAATTTCGTTTACATGCTATTGGCAAAGTTTTGATCTAAGACCATCTCACCGGCTGATCTAAATCAAGCATGTAAGGCCCCTTTGAGATCATTTGTTGGATAGAGGTGAAAGAGAAATAGAAATCTTTATGAGTGGAAGTGAATATATCAAAACAATCTTAAAAAAAACACTCGTTTACTTCCCTTATATGAATAACTATATCTATTCAAAAATATTTCTAGAATGTTTAAATTATAATATCCAACACTTCTCTTAATTTGAGTCTTTCTTGATCACGTTAGCTTCTCCACGCATTTTTTGAAAATCTATAAATTTAAAAGGTGTGTAAATATTTCTACAATTTGGTGTCAATATGCTTACTTTGAGCATAGTATAACAAATCCTTTACGAGTGCTTGTGCAAACTTGTTAGTTAAAATTTCGATAGATTCTTATTGTTATAAGTGAAGACCTTCCACTAATCTTTCCATTAATCTTTTAAGTCAAATAACTTGACAAGTACAAGAAGTTGCTGCTACATGTTCACCTTCACATGTGAAAAGAGTTGCAGTGGATTGCT